ATATGCCAAGATAGAACTGCGAATTGTTTTTATTTGGCCCTTTATAAACCACGCTGGTAGATTTCCTTTTAGTTCACAATTATTTTTTCGATGTGAATCCATAACACCATACTTCAATAAAATGTTGGCTTTAGTTATTGAGTTAATAATTGGCTCTCACTTTTCGCAATCTTAACATTTAGCTAAGTGGGACATTTATTAAGTATATAAGCATTTCCTACATGAAGATATACTTGTTGGACAGGTAGAGAGAGATGGAATAGTTCCGCTTGGTAAGGAAACTGACAAAATTGAGAATCGTTTAAAAACCTTCAGTAACAGAATAATATATTTAGAACAACATTATATATCTACAAATCCAACATAGTTCTGTAATAATTCATAATGCATCCACAGTAAGTGATGTAATCGAGCGTGTTCAGTAGTGCAATTAAGGTAGAAGTTTCACCGAAACATGGTGTATTTTACATGATCAAATCTAGGTAAAAATACAAAACGTTTACTTGGCTTTTACTAGCTTGTACTATCCGCGGAGTATGTGAGATTTTTATCGCCTTTTCAAAGTGTACTGAGCATCCCTACACGTTGTACAGTTGTTCATCTATGAAACAGTCTATGAAATAAGATTTATGTAAATTGTGTGTATTTGATGTATGTATTTTCAAAGCATTTCTCATTTTTAATGCAGTTATTATACAGGCAAAACTAACACTAGACCCAGGGTTTTAAGTAGAAGTGATGCGCTTATTGATAAAGCTAAAAACCTCCAACAATTGAACTTCCTACACACGCTTGGGCATTATTCATTTTATTGTGCAATATTGCTCGATATTGGGTTGGATTGCAGAAAACGGTCTAAGAGTGCTTAGATTTAGACTTGACATAACCACATGAAATTAGAGGAATAAAATGTGGGCATGTTGGGAAATATAGACCTACTATTTAAGGTCAGCACAATTTATGGCCGGAGAAGCTGGATGACATAGGTTAAGTCGGCCGCAATAGGTCAAAGCAACAGATCTATTTTTTCAGATAACAAACTAGTTTTATTCTATACTTTTTAATTCTGTCCAATTTATTACCTTTAAATTAGATATTTTTTACTAGGTTTTTTCAATATACTTGATACTTTTTTTAACTTCATATGCTCCTCTGTCCGAGTCACTTTTCACTCTTATTTGCTGGGTAGTGATGTAAACAAACAAAAATTTGGGTCAATGTTTATTTTATTTACAACTTACTGATGAACACTGATATGCATTATCAGCTTGAAGATCTTTCGGATCACTCCTTCTTTACTATAATCCATAATTAACCGATACATTACCATTATTATCTATGCACTGGCTTAAAACATTTAACAAATTAAAGATTTTAATAGTTGAATTCATGAATCGATCTAATGTAAAACACCGTTAAAAACCTGGAAGCACCGGACGGCTGCTTCATCCTAGTATAGGACTTCTCAGCAGTGCCCATCCACGATCCCGCATGCGGGACTCGGACCCAGAAACCTCGGTCTCGCGCACAAACCCTTAACCCCGAGTGCGAAACCGTGGATGCGCGCTGCTGAAGAGTCCCATACTAGGATGAAACGAACATCCAGTACTCCCAGGTTTCCTAAGGTAGTTCAGCTCAAATCGACTCATAGATCCAACCATTAATTTACTACGATTTCCACAAACCCTCATTCTGAAAATTAAAGAATAACTAGCTAATTATGTAGCCACTTAACCACTGCGTAGTGGAGAGTGTCTTACAAATAAATCATTTCCAATATGAAAATTACTCAACTTTTGATAGTGTGATCACTACTTTAAGTTCACTTAATCTATATAAAAGTACTCAGTTGAGCATCTACTTTATCAAACTACATTGCTTAACTCATATAGATTTCTATGAACTATAGTAAAAGCATTGGATATTTGCTATTTTCTTCCTCCTCACATGTATGTATGTAATTTACGTTCTATAATGGTTAACTTTGAAAGTATATATATATTACATTTGTCCTAATTATTGTTGAAATCGACAGTTGACTTTAGCAATTCATTCATTCTTCATTAATTTTAATTTAGTCAACAGTGATCGATAGTGCACAGTTTGGGACACATTTTTGTTAACCTAAGTTGTTATACCAAATCAGTATAACAAGAGGAAATGAATATATAATGAATAAATCAAAATAACCTTAGAAAAAACAATCACAATTGAAAAGACTAAACATTGAGAATATGATTCGAGAACATGCAATGAAAAAGGTAAACGAATAGTGACATTCAAAGTCAAGAGTAAGATAAAGAATGAATTCATTCACGTCATTATGAAAGGTTTTAAATCATATTTTAGCTGATGTCTCAAATTATAAGCAACATTTACTGTATGGACTCCAATCAAGATAGTCTATATTTATCAAAACAGCTTAGACTATGAGTTAAGTACTTCATGGATAAATGATAAGTCTTAGTTAAACTATCTTTAGCTTTCACTGAAATTACTCCTATGCCAGTTAACATTATATGTCAAAATAAGTAATAGTGATTAAACATATATAAAATATCAGATGGGCTTTGTGGATATTATAATAATTTTAATGGTTAAGACCACCATGGAAAACCTGGAAGCACTGGACGGCCGTTTCGTCCTATTGTGGGACTTCTCAGAAGTGCGCATCCACAAACTCGCCCCCTGCGAGATTCGAACCCAGGACCTACTGGTTTCGTGCGCAAGCATTTTACCACTAGACCACTGAGATAGCCGGCATCCAACGGTGTTAATGTCTAACTTCAACTAATCCACGAAATTGAGCGACACATCCACCATTGTCTTCAGTGAGTTACTATCTCACAATAGAGGAGTTCCACAATAGGACGAAACAGCCGTCCAGTGCTTCCAGGTTTTCCATATTGGTCTAGCTTCAACTAACTCATGATCTTAACCATTGAAAATATATAAAATACTTTGCTTATGATTTCTTATCTATTACTGTTAGTTATGTAATAATTATACAAGATAAACACAATGAAATTCAATGAAATCTATTTCATTCATTCATAAAAATTAATTAAAAACAAAATATTAATTACAAAAAAAATAGTAATAAATCAATAAACTTCATTTATACAAAGCATAGTACATGTAAAATAGAATAGAACTTTATCAAGTACCTGAATTAGAAATGGATTAAGCGTCAAAAAAGAAAAATGTACTTTGATCAAGTTGTTTATCTTGTAAAGATGAAAACAAGTTTTCTTTTCTTTTATTTTCAAAAGAAAACTGGATTTTAAAAATAGAAGAAAAACAAAATACAACCTAAAAGTTGAAAATCAATCAAAGCAAGGAAAAGAGGAAAGATATCTATATATGAAATAGATGATCTGTTTCATTTGCATATAAAATTAATATTTCCAATAGTATTATTGTGTTACTTCTACTTTAAGATTACGCTTTTTCAGATTTGTTTTGTTTCTCTGATGATGACTGTGATGAAGGAGTTACTGATGATGATGACGACGAGGAGGATGCTGTTGTTGATGATGTTGATGATGGATATAAACACCAATGTTGTACCATGAATAAAATATCAAATCCAATCGATAAAATACCTAATCCAAGTTTGATTGGTGATCCAGTTATACTACTAACATCATCTGTGTGTATTAATAAAATGATATAAATAAAAAGCATAAGTTTATAATATCATCTCATCACATAACTAAGTATAATCATCATTTATACATAATATTTATAAATGAGAAATAGTAACAGGATAGAGAACAGAATTAACATGTTTAATATGAACAAATTCAATAAATCGATCTATGTCGTATACAAATGTGAAATGAAATAAAACATTTACATATTCGGATAGAATCACCATGATAAGACAAACTGATGTCTGAAGTATAATGTTTATTTAGTGGTTTCAACTTGTGTGATTAGTCTGTTATAAAAATTCTAATTTAGTAAGCTAATTGGTGATAAGTTTCACAGATGAATTGACACACACAAAAAAAGCTTCGTTACCATACAATCTGTAATAAAGTGAAATCACTAACATCTGCTGATTAATGAAAACAGTATTGATTGATAATTAGTCAGAAGACATAAACTATTTTTAATGCATGAATAGCGCCTACGATACTAAAATGATACATACACTATCATATATAACAAATCAGTTCTGTTTGTATCATCATGTGTATAATATTATGTAATTAGTTAATACAACTTTTGTAACATATTCAAAAATATACACAAAGATATTCTGTTAGAGAAATAAGTAATTGATAATATCATATCACTTAATGTGGTGCATTCACTCATTGACTGAAAATAAATATTTGACATACCTAATCCCAGAATATGTTCTCAATTTGAGGTTATGGAGATTGTTGAGCTACAAATGAGATCACGAAAATCTCGAAGCACTGGACAGCCATTTCTTTTGAATCCCGCGTGCGGGTTCATGGGTGCACACTAATGAGGAGTCCTATACTAGGACAAAAAGGCTATCCAGTGCTTTCAGATTTTTAATGATGGTCTAGCACTGATCGCTTCATGATTGCAATTGAAACACCAGAATATAATTACAATAGAAAAATAAATGTATCACTTATATAAAATAATTATCCCTTACCCGTATTGTATCCTATAATCAACATTTGTGCAATGCTTAGAATCCCTCCAGTGAAATCTAATATAATATTACCTATACTCCAACCAACTGTACTCCTGCGACGAAAATTCATTAAAGCCTAGATTTATGTTTATAAATTTGAAGAAAAAAAAGGAAGAAGCATAAAATACATTTATATTAGATTTCTTCGCAATCGACAATAAATAAGCTTTGATTTCACAGAATGTTTGAAATAACCGCTGATAATAAACCCAAATACTTATATATTTTTAAAACACGAAGTTCAGCGAAGGGATCTCTTTTCAACGAATTTATTATCAAGCTGTACAATCATATATCTATATGGAAATTTTTTTGTTTTTGGAAAAGTACTAATTCCGTGAGGAAATGTGAACACAGTTAATAAAAAAGGGTTATAATACTAGATTACGTAATATGAATAATAATAATAACACTGGATTTGGTGAATATAATAAGATGATTAAAAAGTTTTTGTCATAAATAATCAAAGGTCATAGAGGTGTAAAAAATAATAAATAAGGTGATATGATGAGCATTTACGAATAAAACAATGAGAATATAAGACATAAGTAAAGGGGGGAATGCAGTAATAATAATAATAATAATAATAGAATAATCAAAATAATTAAGGCCAAGGTAACGATAACGATAAGACGTACTTCTTTTGTACGCATAGTTCTGGTTTAAGCTCCTGGATGGCAAGAGCTTCGGCTTGGACTTCCCTTGGACTATACCAAGGGGGCCGAGAAACTCCCCACCATGGTTCAGTAGGAAGGTTCGCATCCTTCTCCGTAAGAGAAGAAAAATTTGGGATAGATTTAGGTTACTGGGAACTGATGAAACTAAATCCCAGTATAGAAAAGTCCGGAATACCTGTGCCTCGAACCTCCGTATGTCTAGAAAGTTGTACGAAGAAAATATTGTTAAGGAATCCATAGAATGTCCTAAACGCTTGTATTCTCATATAAACCAAAGGACAAAGAGAAGAGGAAATATTCCTGCTCTATGGGGAGACAGTACTGCCGCGTCACTAGTGGAGGACGACTTTGGTAAGGCTCAAGTGTTCTCAAACTACTTCAGCAATGTATACACCATAGAAGCACCCTTCCCATCAGTGCATACAGATCCCCCCACACATACACCGGATAGCGTGACCATTAAAGAACTCGATATCTTTGGTCTACTAAATAAGCTTGACATAGGTAAATCCACGGGGCCCGATGAATTACATCCTAGGCTACTGAAGGAATTATCTAACTTCGTTGCGAACCCTTTAAGTATATGCTTTAAACTATCCGTAACGCAGGGTCGTTTACCCAAAGACTGGAAAAACGCCATAGTAAGTCCTGTCTTCAAAACAGGTACGAAACACAAACCTGAGAATTACCGCCCCGCTGGCCTAACTGGTGTGGTTGTTAAAATCTTAGGAAAGATTATTCGGAAGGAGCTGTTTAAGTATCTCGATAAAAACCGGATCCTTTCAGAGAAGCAGCACGGTTTCAGAATAAGTTACTCTTGTCTCACTAACTTATTAGTGGCTCGTGAAAGCTGGTGCGCTCTTAAGGACCAAAAGTCACCTGTAGACGTAGCCTTCATTGATTTCAGCAAAGCTTTTGACAAGGTTCCGCACAACCGGCTGTTATATAAGTTAAGAAATGTCGGAATTGGAGGCAATTTATTGATGTGGATAAAAGACTTCTTAGTTGGGTGTCAACAAAGAGTTCGGGTGAACTCAAAGTTATCTAGCTGGAGAACTGTGCTTAATGGAGTGCCCCAGGGTACAGTTCTGGGGCCAGTGCTATTCCTCTTGTATGTAAATGACCTTCCTCGTCTCCTATCATCATCGGTCTTGCTATATGCTGACGATGTCAAGATATGGAGAACGATACGATGTGAGGGTGATAGCTTAGAACTTCAAAATGACCTGAAGAAATTATCTGAATGGTCTCAAACCTGGCAGTTGCCGACAAATACTTCTAAGTGTGTTGTGATGCATATCGGTCATCAAGGCACAGATACATACACGATGAATAACACTGAGCTACCTGTCGTCCAGACACATAATGACTTAGGAGTCATCGTTAGCCAAGACTTAAAGACTACTGCACACTGCCGTGCAATAGCCGCCAAAGGTTTTAGAACCTTATGGTCAATACGTAGGGCTTTTAGTCATGTCGACGCTAAGACGTTTTTGACTTTATATACAGTGTTCGTACGTCCTAAACTTGAGTACTGCATACAAGCGGCCAGACCCTGCTTAAAAAAAGACAGTGAGCTTCTGGAAAAGGTTCAGAGAACGGCAACTAAGCTGATTCCCGGAATAGCAAAGCTTCCGTATGAAGCTCGACTGGCCAAGCTGAACCTTTTCCCGTTGTCATATCGCAGAACTAGAGGCGACTTGATTACAGTTTTCAAACTGCTTAGTGCCAAATTTGCACCTGATATGCCCTCATTTTTCTTGTCTGCCAAAACAGAGAATTTACGAGGACAGTCCAAAAAGTTCACAAGCCAAGAACAAATAACTTGTCAGCTGACTATCGACTTTCCCGTCGAATCATCAACGAGTGGAACTCATAACCTCAGCACGTGGTTGAGGCTCCATCCATCGATTCTTTCAAAAGAAAGTTGGATCAACTGAGAGACCACCATTGCCAGGACTAACACAGGCCATCAGGCCTCCTGTCCTTCCCAAACTGAAACTGGATACGAAGAAATCTGGGTAGATTTGAATGAATCAAATAAACAACCTTAAAATCAATTTGTGTATCTGTAGAATGGTTATAGTCGATTAGGTGTTCAAGTATAGAACTCCTAACTGCTTTCCTTTCACCCTTATAAAACCATGCTGAGATATGTTCCCGTATCCGAGTTATATATTCTTATCATGAATTATTCATATTAAGTAAGTAAACAAACTTTGTCTTTCTTTCTTAATAAATCAAATCAAAATAACAGATTCCTGGAAATAAATCACAGAAAATAATATCTACATGATTATCCACTTGAGACAGTTTTTGATAATAAACTCTGTAAAGTAGAAAAAGTGCTCATCTATCAAGGATAATATTAGTGTGGCGAATAGTGGTGGAGATTGCAGTATTTCTACAGTTGAAATCCTTCATACTAATAACAATCACATTCTCACAAGTGACTAACTTCAAAATGTAACTGCTGACGTTCTGGTGAAGAGCTGTGACCAATGGAGGGTAATCTGTGTAGGGCGTGAGACTGTTATCCATCGCAGGTGATGGATGAAGGCTTATGCACGATCATAAATTGATTGAAGTTAAACACTGAAATCGCTTAATACTAACTCAATAGTTTAGAGGTTAAGCGTTTACTCACGAGACTAAGGGTTCTGAGTCCGATTTCCACCTGCGGGACCGCAGCTGAGCATAGCCATTTAGTGGTCTAACCAAGATGAGTTTGTGAGTTCAACTGTAAAAAGTATAATATTATTGCCAATGACTGGACAAAATGATTATAATGACTTGAATAATATTACTGTACTTAACTATAAGAATTCATTATGAAAGGATTGAAAAAAACATCAATGTAATGTAACTCATTTACCAGGTTTATGTTTTTGGTATATAACTTTCAGACACATGATTATTGTGAAACCACGTGATACTTTATAATAAGTGCTCAAGATCAAATATGTCAAAAGATGTTCAAATTTACAACTAACAGATTAAATGACTAAAATTGAAACAATCAATTCGTAACTCACACATCAGGCAAACATATATACATTGATCTTTCAATATCAATTAATTAAACCAATGGACAATAATTCTATATTGTCATAATGAAGTTATTTGTGGCAAAATGTTTACAATAGAATATTTCCGCCTGGAGTCTCTCCGGGGGCTACTGCTGGTCCCAAGCCCGGATAAAGGAGGAGGGTTGGGCATGGGGTTAGCGAACCCATCCCGTAGAAAACTAACTCGCCAAACAAACGCTAACCAGAAAAAATTATCAGCAACAACCTCCTTTGGGAAAAAACCAACCAGATCATAGCGAAGGAAGAAATCAGGAAGAAGCACTGGAAGTGGATAGGATACACATTGAGGAAAGCACACACCTGAGTCACAAGACAAGCCCTCACCTGGAATTTCGAAGGCCAAAGGAGGAGAGGAAGACCAAAGAACACATTACGCCGTGAAATGGAGATATACATGATTAAAATGAACAAGAATTGGATGGAACTAGAAAAGAAGGACCAGGACAGAAGGGGTTGGAGAATGCTGGTTGGCACCTATGCTGCATTTGGAGTAACAGGCGTAAGTAATTAAGTAAGTATTGTCTATCTTAATATTTACATATTTATTGAAGCTAACTATATATCACTTCTTCTACATGTAACAGTTTTTTAATCAATAACGTATTTCAATCACTCTATAAGTTAATGTATTTCATTAAGTGATCATCAACTTCCTACTGTTATACACCTTTCAATATGTTTTATTCATAATATTCTATCATATTAAATAGAATTGACATTTTGAAGATTTTAATTATGATTTATAAATATTTGTTACCATGATATATTCAATCTGCTAGCGTTTTTTACTAGCTAATAACCAATGTATATGCGTTTTGTATTCAATACTTTGATTGATCATCCATGGTGCTAACTTTTATTCAGCAGATTGTTATTCCGACGTAGTTGGAAAATGGGTTATATATATTATATATATGAGTGTATAGCGTTTTATTAAAATATCTATCAAGCTATAAGACCACATTTTAGCACGATCTGTACTTTGTAATATTTATAAATTGGTTCAGAATCAGATGTGTTTTAACGACACTTTGCTCTTAACCTTTTAAATACAAAGTGTTTAATGATTCATCTAAAAAATATGAATAACTTAAATAAAAATAAATTTCATTTGTTAGATTGAGGTAGGCTTTATACTAGAATTATCTATTGAGAGCATAATTTGTTTGCAAAGTAAGTGGATCGAGTTTTTTTACTGGGATCATGAATTGATGAATGTTAGACCATCATTGAAAACCTGGAAGCATTGGATGGCCGTTTCGTCCTAGTATGGGACTCCTTAGTAGTGGGCATTCACGATCCCGCACATGGGATTGAAACCCAGGACTTTCGGTTTTGTGTGAGGGATCGTGAATGCGTAATACTAGATTGAAACGGCTATGCAATTCTTTCAGGTTTTCAATCTCAATCAAAGACTCATCAATCTTCACAATCCCATATTGATAAGTGAATTGATTTTTACTCTCCTTCTTAACATTCATTCTAAATTCCGTCAAATTCATGAGTATTATATAATCCTAGATTGTTGGATGAAACGTTGGATTTACTTCAAAATTCATTCGCTGAGATTTTACAATTACATTCTCCCTCTTTTTGATGTCTGACATCAACTCGGCACCCAAATACTGTGAAACTATTTCATCAAATTTAGACGAAAGTTCTTATTCATTATTATTTATAGTTCATGTTCAGATGAAAGATATTTTGTATTATTACATTCGTCATTGGAGTCATTCTTTTGAATACAAACAATATGATAATAGAAATTGTCTTTATCGATCGATAAGCTATTGCATAACTGTATTTCTTTCACATTCACAGATCGCAAAACAAATGTTTCATGATAAATATACCTCATAATAATAATAATAATAATCATTATTATTATTATCCTAAAAACTTAAACAAAACACTATCTCAATAAATTGTTCTACAATTCCTAGATAGACTACTACTACTACATTAATGTAAGCGTCATGTGATGAGTACATAAATATACGGTAATTATACTGTACAAATTATCAGTCAAAATATTATGGTTAAATGTCGACTGATTACATGACATATTCGTTGAATAATAATGTAACTGTTAAAATGATTCAATCAATGAATAATACTATGATAGATAATATATCATCTAAAATATGATCAATTACATTAGATTTGTTTACAGTTTGTTGTGTTGTTTTGTTTCTTTGTTGTGTTTTTTTTGTTTTGTTTTAACTTTGGTGATCAGCCAAACAGTACTTGTACTTTGATAATGAAATATAGAAAACATAATTTTCGGAATCATATCAATTAAATAGTTTATGTTAATAGAATGGTCCCTTATATAGTATTTGTAGGTAATAAGCTATCAAAAACACTGTACATAATCTAACTTGTTAAAGTAGACAATCTATGAGTAGTGTTAAAGTGACCTTTAAAAAATATTCACCTACTAACTAGTGGCAAAAGAATATTGTAAATTAATGTGATAGATCAAGATTTAGGGTTTAGAGTGGAATATCAAAATTAGGAATGAGAATTGGTATTAACTACAATGGTAAAATAGTATTTAACTATATGAAAGTGTGAATTTTGTATCAAACACCAAGACATTTTGTCGTAAATCTCATTGATTTGTTTCTAAGTTAAAACCTCGCCACCATTGATTGGATACATTGCAAGGTCTTGAAGTTTAAATTTATATGTTACAGTATACTTTACAAGTAAAAAAATCAAACTTGAACTAATTTTTACAAGTCTCTGTACAAAACAACTAAAGATTGATAATGTATTATAGGTGAAAAGCCTTACAAATTTTGTTAAGGTAAGCAATTCTCAGTACTTATTGTGCAATATATCAATAAATCTCTGTAATAACATATTTCCAAATTTTATTTATTTAAAAAAATACATTTTCACAATGTGTTTCATAGTTAGTATCTTGTGGTGGTCGGTATTCGATATATCCCTTAAACTTCGTATACAATTCGTCTTGATAAACGTCCTATTTAACCCCGACGGTATATTATTCAGAAGGCGAATACGAAGCGTTGATTACGTTTATTTCGAGACCACACACACAGATGTCCAAAATTACAGATGCATTAAACGAGCATTAAGAGTTGTGTGGAACGGCAAACAGGCAAGCGAGCGACTGAGCGAATGTAAGTAATCGAGTACAATCAAGCGAGCGAGAAAGCAGAGTCAACCATATGAATAACATGGACATATATATAGCATGTGAAATTAATGAGTAATCGAATCAAATAAGCGGTTAGTAGTGAGACTAGCAGAGTGACATAAAGGCGTAGGCCGTAAGCAATATTCAAGCATGCGTATTTCATACAAGCACAAAGTAATAATAAGGGTACAATAAATTGTTATAGTGCGGATGGCTTTGTCCGCTAAATAAGTTAGCAAAAGGGCTTAACTGAGTTAAATGAGAATAAACCCATTTGCACGTGAGTCGCTATAATCCGAAACTTAACTTCAGCCAAGAAAGTTTACGAACCGTTTAGTCAGTCAGTCAGTAACAAAGTAGAACTTCGTACGTACGTACATCACTTTGAGTTGCCACACCACATGCAGTTGTTGATTCAAATCCCATAGTGGTAGAGGTAGTAAAAGTATAAGCATTAATCGGAAGGATTAGGGTTTGAAGATGTTATTCAAGGAGCATAATCCAGTGAAATAAATATGGAAAGAGAAAAAAAGGGACATGAATAATCCAGAAGATTAGAATTCGGGAGAACACAAAGAGTGGATGCACCTGCGCCATTGCAAACGATTTTGAGTCATTTCATTCAAGGTCTCTAGCCATCGGTTACTATTGTCTCGCGGATCCCAACCAGGTAGTCTACAGTTTAACTGCTACAAGTCATTTTTTTCTGAAGCCATCATATATGAGATACATGAATTCCAATGTGTTCGTCTCTCTTAATTATTGCAAGTGATAGATAAAAAGAGGAAACATGCTAACAACTGTTCTGTTCCTTTTTTTTATTTTATACTGCCTTTGGAAAAACAGGAGTTAAAAATTCCTAAAGTTGAAGAACATTTGCAGCTCAAAACATTTCTTAGACAACACCAAAGTTGGAATTTTTATTACGAAACTAAAGACGGTTTTGTCATACGCAAATGAAACTTTGAAAATTACTACAAATATCATCAAAAAGGTATAATTATTTGTAAACAGTTTTCTACGCAAAATATTTAATACCCATTGGCCAGATACCATCTGTAACAACCTACGGTGGCAGATGACAAATCATATTCCAGTTGAAGAGGAAATCAAAGAGAGTCGCAGAATGTGGAATGGATACACATTCGAGAGATCATCAAAAGAATGACTAGCACTTGGCATCGACTTAAAAGCAGGGTTCTGGGTAGAACTGGTTCGGGAATCTTAATCGGTAACCTATGTTTCACGAGGAGTAATAGGTGTCAGTAAGTAGGAAAGTAACTCACAGTTGGTGCTTAGAATTATCAATTCCATACAAACTGAAGAAAGGAAGATTACTTTTACGATTGAACAATAGGATTATATTTAAATAACAAAATAAGACATCATATTTATGACTAAAAAACTGAATGACTACTGTTAGAAATAACTTTAAATCAACTGGGAAAACTTTCATCAATAAAATTACAAAATAAATATTCCATTTATTTAATTACATCACATGTTTACTTACCTGAGGTGCATATTTAATGAATGAGATAAACAGTTTAACATAAGATAATAAGTAGAACGTATCTAACCATTCCACGTAATGAACTCCGCCTAATATACAAACAATTATCGTATAGATAATGATTAATATTATTATTCCTATACATGTTTTTGATACACGTTGACCACCACGCTAAAAAAATATAAAAATAATTTCTTTGTTTTAGAAAAATAAAACAAAAATAAACTAATTATAATAATGACAACATTTGAATGACATAATAGTTTTCTGAATAATAGATTACAATATATAATATGAAAATAAATTATTAACATAAAGTTGGCCCAGTGGTCTAGTCGTTAAGCGCTCGCGCGTGAGACTGATAGGTCGTGGGTTCGAATCTCGTTAGAGCCCCCAAATGCCCTGGTACGGCCGAGAGTGATGAGATTTTGCTCTCCCTCTCGAAATGCTCTCACATGGCCACGCGTATATAGACCCTGCCAAGGAAGTCCTACTCACTGCCTTCTCACACCATAGGTGTTGTTTACGAAATTGAGAAGAATAAAAGCGAACGTCCGGTGCTTTAACCGGGTTGATGGACATGGAGAGTCCACCTAGGGGAGTTGTAAAACCCTGATTCCAAACCAATGGTGCACATGGGCTCCAGAATCCTGAAGGGACAAATGGTATATGAACCAATCGTTGGTCACCGGCTTCCATGGGACTGCATCTCCTTATGATGCTCCACTGCCTTGTGGATCAGACCTTTGGGTTGGAGGCTCCAGGTGTGGCCCCTAAGAAAACCGCCTGCTTCGGTCTGGGCACCCGGGTAGTATCACAGCCCTCACACATATCAAATGAGATTTGTGTGGCGCATATGTATTTGGTGTCTCCTTATACCAATATCTATGTGTTAAAATAAAATAAATAAATAAATAGAAGTGATCGTTATGGAAACATATTATCAATGATAATACATTTATATTTAACTATTTCTCATCAGGTATAACTACAAACTTGAAACAATAGTTTTATAAAGTTTAAATATGAAGAGTAGTGTACCAAATGTAAACTGTTGCTATTTGGTTTAATCTGATATCAAAGAAACGTTTGCATTTCAAGAAAATTAACAATTGTAGTGTAAATATTTGCTAGTTTTAAGTTTATTTTCATTCTTAGATAGTCTAGATACTTTAAAAGGTTCCAAAATACAAAGAAGGATGCATAGCAGTTTGTAAATTTAAGGTATTATTCAAAATAAAGTCAAATTGTAAATGTAGTTAAATATTGAATTATCTGTACAAGAAGCCCATATCTCAATATAGATTGATTTAATTCCGTTTCAAATAATAACAACTGGTTATTTAATACAAACTCTCCTAACTATTATATTATTATTTGAATAAGAAGACGTGTTTAAAGAACAATGATCATGGATTATATTAACTTGTGTCATTTTCAAAGACTTATTCACTGAAATTCATTAATCACTGAGTAGTGACAAATCTGATGTTTTTTCCAGCTCTTAAAGCTAAACGACTTCTATTAATGTTCTCTGATATTGCTTACTACTCAATGATCAATTATATGTAAATATTTCAGTAAAACAGGCGATCAGTCTTCAACTATGACACTAGTTAATATCAATTCAAATTCACCAGTGAGCACCATTTCCTTCAAGATTACAAGTACAATTATTTACCAGGATGAAACCTTGACCCATGGTTTTCTGTTAATCATATCTAACCGCTTAGTATTATTTTCACTGATCAGCGATAATGTTTTCTTCCAAACAACCAGCATGTAGATTTCACAATTGATTGATCAAGGGGTGATGCTATCGATCTGCATTAAGGACTTGATACACATGATATTGGTCACCAACCAGTGATTAATCAATTGTGACTACATCTCAGTCTTACAGGAGGTCGGTCAAGGCCCGGATAGCCTAGTGGTAACGTCTCTGACTGTGAAGCTGGGTGACACTGGATCGAGTCAGTCAGGGAGCACCAGTTCCCTCAAGATTACAGATACACCTTGCTGACGAGTGCCAAGTAGCACGAAACCCG